GCTCTTATTTGTGAGTGTCTATGAACCTGGATCTCTAGGTGGGTTGGTTGGTGTCTTTCTGGTCTGATCTGGAGTGACTGAGCCTGGGTCAAACATTCTCTCCTCTTTGCTCTCAAGACTGGCTGCTTGCTGTTACCTGACTTCATGCCTCTCTTCTCTAAACAGGTAGTCATCTAAGCTTGCCTCCAAGTATGAGTTAGGGCCAGTCTTGCTTTATGCAAGTTTGTTGTTGGAGAATTCTGATTACACTTACCTGTGACAGAATGGGTGAAGTATGTTGTAAATAGTGAAAGATTCATTTGCTTTCACTGAGGAAGAGAGAATGTGGAATTGTGTTCTATAAGATTAGGAGTGTGGGGTGGCCCAGAGAAGCTGCTGATCAGGCACATTCAGAATCAGACGAAGCTGCCCATTTGCTACTTGGGTGAGCCTAGAATTCCTCATTTATGACACAAAGACCATAGCTAGCATTTAAGTAAATCGTCATGCTTTTGGATGGAAGTGTAGCTCAGCAGTCGCACACAAGGCTCTGGGTTCTGTCCATAGTATTCCTGGAGGGAGAGTCTGTTTTTATGAGAAGAAAAGGAAACCCCCAAAGTTGAGAGTGATCTTGAGATATCGTTTCTTGTTTCTCCCACAAGTAATCAGTTCTGGTTTTACTGCTCTGGTCAATGACGGTAATAGGCATATGTTTTATTTCTGCTTCACCCTAGTGACTCATTCCCCCGATCTGAAACCTGGAGTAGACAATGTCTTTGAGCAGAAAATGACTGTTAGTTCCCGGAAATGCAGGTGACAAGACAGAGTCAGCAGTGGGAATGTGCAGCCAGGCTGAAAGTGTTCCTTAAAATATACAAAGCTTGGGCTAAAGAATGTATCAGGGGTTAAGAGCACTCACTGCTTTTCCTGGGAACCTGAGTCCAGTCCTAGCACCATGTTAGGCAGCTCACCAGCTGCCTGTCACACACACACACACACACACACACACACACACACACACACACACACAGTAGTAAAAAATTTTAAAAATAAAAATTAGAACATCTATACAAAGACTCCAGACAAGCCTTGACACATAAAAGGAAATAAGCAGGTGGTATTTATTTTTTTTCCTCGCTCTGAAAAAATGCAAACAAATAAATTTGAAGGCTGTATCCAGTCCCTAAACTGAAGTGAGTACTGAAGTTAGTTCTTCGACACAGACCTATTCCTACCCTCTTAGGTCTCTGTGGGTGTTTAACATTTAAGTGGAGAATACAGAGAAACCAGACACATAGAAAAGCTAGCCTTTGAGCTCCTCCCCGAGCCTTCCTGTCTGGGCACAAGACTATTTAGCTCAGGGCTGGTAGGAAGAGCAGTTGTCTAGCCAGCTGGTGATTTTTAAGATGATCAGTACCTAATATTCAAGGCCACCTGGGCTACAAGGCAAGACCTTGTCTTAGAAAGAGAAATCAAAGCAACTCCTGCTTGTTGTGAAGCATTTGGTGAAACGTGGGAAAGGAGGAAGAGCAGAAACCCCTCCATTCTGCAGGTGTACAGGAACTGTCTTCACGTGCTTGGGGCATTCAGATCTCACTTTTTTCTTCTTCTAATGTCATAATATGATTTTTAAAAGTTAATAACATGACCTTTTAAAAATTAAATAAGTATTTTCCTTTATACATAATTCTAAAAAGCAAAACAAAGAATGTACAAAGTGGAAAAAAAAATAAAATTTGCAGTGCCATTTGTCAAGTATTTTAGAAGTACATAAAGTAGCTCTTCCACATACCATTTCCACTCTTCTTGCTGTGTGGGGTAGGGATTGTGCTATGAATTCACATGTCCAGCTTGCTTTCTTCGCTCACTAACACATTCTGACTGTCTTTTTATAGCAAGGACATTTCCTGGTGCCATTAAAACGCTATTCACGTGATATTTTAAAAGGCTACATAACAGTTCATCAGCTAGATGTTCTTTGTTTTATGTAATCTTTCCTCTGAGTAAATATTTGTCGACATTTTTTATTCTGACCCAGAGCCAAGTCTCGGCCTCATAAGTCAAGATAAACATCTTAAAGTTTCCTTTCCAGGAAGGGTTTATCATTTTACACTTCTTCAGTAGCTTAGGAAAATATACAGTGACAGGGATTTCCAACTTCACAGCCCTTAATGATGTTACCCCTCCCCATGTGTGTTTGTGTGCATGCTAGGAGATTTAATTATGTTGCATATTAATGATCTTTTGTGGGTTTTAAAATAGAGCTATTCTCTCCTCTATTAAGATTTTTTTTTAAATGTGTATGGGTATTTTACCTACATGTATGTAAGTATGTGCACCAGCTTCACGTCTGGTGTACATGGAGGTCAGAAGAAGGTGTTAGAGTCCCTGAAACTGGAGTTACCATTAAAACCAAGTATTGGTTTCTAGCTCAGGTTCCTTAGCACTTCTAGCCCTACCCCTGGAGGCGGAGCCAGTATTTGATGCAGTCCTGTTTCTTTACCCCCTCTCCACCTGTGATTTTTGGCTCCATTCCCTGGGAGGTCTAAGCACACGTCGGGGGAAATATGGGTGCTCATAAATAAGACTGGACTAGGACTTGGTGATCCATGTGTGACTTGATAGACGGACAGGTGTCAAACTCTGGACACTGCATGTTTGATGGGTGATACGTACCGATCCAGTTCTTTAACTTTGGTACGCGTTTAGTATCTCATCCACTGAATATAATTCTAGGTTCTTGTTTGGTTTATCAGTTCTTCCATCTCCAGGGCATTGGAGATGCTTCTATTTTATCTGTAGAACATGTTATATCCTTGTGCACAAGGATTTCAAGGCTCCTAACAGGACTCTCAGGGTGGCTACCTCCTTGGACACTTCTCCAGTGGATACCATATTGTACCAGTCCAGGAGGCAGAGACTGGAGACTCTTTGTGAGTTGGAGACCAGCCTAGTCTACAAACTGAGCTCTAGGCTAGCCAGGGCTACATGGGAAGATCTTGTCTCAATTTTTTTCTTCTTCTTTTGTTGTGATTTTTTTTTTTTTTTTAATTAAGATTTTGCTGGGTAACTTGGGCTGAATTTGAACTCCTGATCCTCCTGCTTTTGCCTCCTGAGTGCTGGGACTGCAGGTGTGCTTCACCATACCCAGCCAGATTTATTGCTTTGCCAATTTTTGAGCTAAAGATTTATAATTTAATTCTCTTGATTACAGGTGGAATTGGCATCTTTATAGTATATGGCAGATTTTAGGTTGCTATTAATAACCAAGATTATGGTTAGGATGATGTAACAGGCTTCTGCAGCTGCTCATCCTCTTCCTTTGAACTCACAGTACCCCCCCTCCTTAATTTCCTAAGTGCTGGGACGACAGGCCAGTGCCACCATGCTTTGTGACCTTTGTGATTTTGCCATCAGGCTGGGTCTTTGACTGTAAGATCTTGATCCCACCCAGTGCCAAGAATTCATTACGCTTACGGGACTTCCCAGGGCCCATGGCTGTCTCCAGTTGGGCACTAGAAATATGGGACCCCCAGGACCGTGGAGCCGCATTTGCATTCCCCACAGAGGTGCTGTGCTTGAACTCCATCCATCATTTGCCCTGGTTCTCCTGGTTCTTCACCCGTTTGCAACAAAATATGGCTAAGGATTTTTTCTCTTCCCTTCCTTCCTTCCTTTTTTTTTTTTTTTTTTTTTTTTTTTTTTTGGTTTGCTTTATTTTGTTTTTCAAGACAGAGTTTCTCTGTGTAACATTCCTGGCATTCCTGCCTGTCCTGGAACTCACTCTGTTGACCAGGCTGGCCTCAAACTCAGATATCTGCTTGCCTCCTGAGTGCTGGGACTAAAGGCATGTGCCACCTTGCCCAGCTGAGAATGTCTTTCTTTCTTTTGTCTTTTTTTTTTCCTTTTCTATTTTGTTGAAATATTTACAGCAATAGGAGAGGAAGAGAGAGGGGTAAGAGGGCCCCTAGGGAAAGATCCAAACCCAGGACCCACTCCCCCAGATAGCCCAGCCCACAGGACTGAGAACTGCCCAAGTATGGCCACCCCGGTGGGTTAGGAGGCCCTGTGGGGAGTTGTCACCCCAAGGGAGGGATCATTGGATGCACTCTGGGGGTTGAGGGGCAGACTTGCTTGGGAGAAAGGGACTAATAGCCAGGGAGAAAGGAGCTTTAGAGAAGGTTCCCGTTAATCATCAGCCCCCCCCCCCAATCCCCTAGGCCTAAGCCTTCCTGTGATGCAAGGCCCCGTCTCCAGGGCACAAGGAACTGTAGCATGGGAGGATCCTGTCCATCTGTCTTGCTGACCCACCGCTCCCTTCCGGTGGATGGACAGGAGCAGCTAATGGGTTGGATCCTGCAAGGCTTTGGCTTACCTCAAAAGCGGCATCCCCCTACAGACCTAGGGAAGCCTTGCTGTTCCTCCTTTTCTAATCAGTGTCTCTGCCTCATAGAACCAGAAGTCTAATCTAAGAGCTGACGCTTTGAAGCCCCATACACCAGACCACACCATTCATATCTAGAGAAAACACAGCACATCCTTCCCTTGCGGCTTTTTATAGCTAACCATTTTATAGCACTGTTAGGTTGTCGCGGGTGACTGTCCTTAGTGTCTCAGGAGAGACTGCTGCCAGAGCCCTGTACTGTCCCGTGCCTCCTCTATCCTGTCACCAGGGTTCACTGACGTTTTTCTGAGCAGAAGAGAAGTCCTACAAGGAGATGTGTGGGGAATCCCAAGTTGGCTTCAAGGCAGGGGACCCTTCTTCCTGGAATTAGTCTGTTCTTGTCACTCACTATTAGCATAAGCCATCCTCAAACTTGTGGTGCTCCTTCTGTCTTTGCCTCGGAAATGCTAGGATATATGTGTCCAGCACCTAGCTAATACCATCCTTTAGTAACAAAACTGTCATCAACAGTTTGGCATCGCTTGTGTGGCTAGAGTTAGGAGCCCTTTCTTTAAAACTGTCTTCATTATGTATTAACTTTTTTCCCTTTTACCCCCTGTTCCTGTTTTTACTTCAGGCAGGAAGTTAAGAGGAAAAGCCTTCTATTTTGTCAATGGCAAAGTTTTCTGCGAGGAAGACTTTTTGGTGAGTATATCACCCAGGCTGCAGGGGTTGAGGGTGGCTTAGGGCAGGAACCGGAGAGGCCCAGAAGGCAGGAGATTGTTTCTCTATTCTCCTGGTACTAATGGGAGAGGGCTATTCCCTCCTTGTGGATGCCTGGGTAACCTGAGTCCTGAAGCAGAATACAAGCCACAAAGCTTTATGTATGTACAAATGTGCCCTCTGCACCACACTCCCTGCCTGTGTATGTGTGTGTGAGAGAGAGAGAGGGAGAGAGAGCATGTGCTATCTTCAGAGACCGGTTAGGACACAGATGCCAGGCCCCAGCCCTGTATCCATCATAGTAAATGTGGGGCAAAATTCCCAAACTTAGTTTGTTCCAAGTTTCCGAGTGATTCTATGGGTCTTGTGTCTGGAACCTTTGAGATGAGGGATTAAAGCTTCTTTGGGTTTATGGTGTCATAAACAAAGTGTGCGGCCCGGCTACAGTATCTGGGATGGGTGGCCCAGGACTGCCCGGGACTCAACACACTCTCAGGGGAAACACAGGTTTTTTTCCAGAAATCCCTCATCGTTTGCTGCTGATGGGGAGGTGGCTGACTCATCTTTCTTTTTCTCTCTATAGTACTCTGGCTTTCAGCAGTCTGCCGACAGATGTTTTCTTTGTGGACATCTGATCATGGACATGGTGAGTGCCGTTCAGCAGGATCATAGCGCTTTGGAAGGAGGCTGAAAAGAAGTTAATAATTGAACACAACATTTTCTTTCTGGCTTGTGGTCACTACTGGTTTTATTTAAAGAAGTTCTTGCATGGTTTAGACATTCTTCTCCAGTAGAAGCTGTTGTTGGCTTGGACCAATGCATTTTTTAAATCATGCCTCCCGCTGGCCTCCCTCTGGTTTCTCTGTGATCCTTGGCTTTCCCAGTGAGGTGCTAGGAGCAGCCTGTTTTACTTGCAAAAATTTCAACCACCTGGGAATTGGGTACAGCTAGATGAACAGGTTTTTTTTCTTCCAGCACAAGCCACTCCTAAAAAAGCTTTTGGCATTCAAATAGACAGAGCCCAGGTTTTCATATCCCATTCTGTGCTCAGCCACTGGCTCTTTTAGATCATGTGGGGTCTCAGTCTTTGCTTCGTACGTAAGAATAATGCTCCCCGTGGAATCGGGTAGTGAGGTCAACAAATTGTTTGCTGTTGGAAACTGGCCTTTAAGGAACTGGGAGCTGAGAGTTTAATTCAGTGTCAGAATGCTTGCCTACCACGTGCACGTCCTTAACACTGGGAGAAAAACAAAACCAAGAAATAGTCAGCTATGCTGGTTGCTTAGAGGCTGACAACTGGTTTAAGTCACTCCCTGAGCCCTTGACTTGTGCCTTAAAAACGCTGTCTGGTGGGTGTTCTCTCCCAGGAACCACTCTCCTGCTAGATGAGATTTGTTTCATTTGCTGTGCTTATCTCCACTTAAAGAACTTCTGATGGGGCAGGAAAAGTTAATCCTGTGTGGAGGATTCCTCTGGGGAGTGTTCAGCTTACAGGTGGCTCTTTCTTTTCTTACCTTTTCTTCTTCTTCTTTCTTTCTTTTTTTCTTTCTTTTTTTTTTTTTTTTGGTTGGGAAGTTGCACAGTGCTTGCCAAGCATGTCCAAAAAAATGTCTCTTATATGCTGGTCGTAGCAGATGGTTATCTAACATAATTTCAGCTGGAAGCATTCATTCCATTCTGTGTTTATGTTCTTAATTCCATTCTGGTGAAGGGAACTGTCAATCGTTGTTTTTTTGTTTTTTTTTTTTCTCTCACCTTTTTTTTTTTAATTAAGAAATAATTCAGAATAAAAGGCACAAATCTTTTTCCCCCTCTCCTTTTTTTAAAATGTTATTTATTTTATTACATATACAATGTTCTGCCTGCATATACACCTGCATGCCAGAAAGAAGGTATTAGATCTCATTACAGATGGTTGTGAGCCACCTTGGGGTTGCTGGGAATTGAACTTAGGACCTCTGGAAGAGCAGGCAGCTCTCTTAACATCTGGGCCATCTCTCCAGCCCGAAAGGCACAAATCTTAAGTGTGCTAATGAGTGAAGTTTTACGTGTGCACCTACCCATGCAAGACATCGTCTAAACACCATAAAATTGCTTCTTCCCACTTAAAATCCTTGTCCACAGAGGCCACAGCTGTTCCAGGATCCAATGTCACATGTGCTAACTGGTTTCAGAACATCATACAAGTTGAATTGTAGAGCCACTCTAGTTAGTATATGCCTGTCCTTGCTTAAAAATATGTCATGAGCTGGGCAGTGGTAGAAATCACCTTTAATCCCAGTCCTTGGGAGGCAGAAGGGAATGAATCTGTGAATTTGAGGCCAGCCCGGTTAAAAGAGTGAGTTCCAGATGGCCAGTACTGCAGAGAGAAGCCTGTCTCAAAAAACAAAACAGAACAAAAAACAAAAATGTCATCATGGGATTCACACACATTGTTCCCTATAGAAGTGATTTCTTTGTTTTTATTTCCAAGTAGATTTTGTTGTACATATGAATTTGGATATTCGCCGTTTTTGAGCTACTTGCACACAAAGCTTCTGCCATTTCAGAGCACTCTTGTACATGTGGTTTAGATTAGCCCGGGCCTCAATCACCTTAAACTTCTGGTTTTTCTGCCCCTGCCTCTGAATGGTAGGATTACAAGCATGCACCACCACTGGTTATATGTAGTGCTAGGGGTCTGTGTGTGTGTGTGTGTGTGTGTGTGTGTGTGTGTGTGTGTGTGTGTGTGCTGATTTTTTTGAAATAGGGTATCACTATGTAGTTTTGGCCTTGATGTATTGACTAGGCTGGTCTCAAACTCATAGAGATCCACCTGCATCTGCTTCCTGAGTGCGGGGATTCAGGGAATGTTCTACCTGGGTTTTGAACCATGGGCCTCATGCATGTTAGGCAAGCATTCTACCAGCTGAGGATCAGCCCTTGTACATGTCTTTGATGAATGTGCTTTCTTACTGGTTCTATACAATTATAAAGCAACAGTGAACAGAACCCTCCCTGCTCATGAGGAGTACCTGCTGCCGTCTAGGGCTTGAACACAGCAGAGCTTACTACTAGCCAAAGTCTCCCTGAGCATCTTAATTACTTTTTTATTGTTGTGAAAAGATACCATGACCAAGCCAACTTACAGAAGAAACAGTTTACTGGAGCCTTACAGTTCCTGAGGATGAGTTCATGGCTATCTTGGCGAGGAGCATGCCAGCAGGCAGGCAGACAGACAGACAGGCAGGCAGGCAGGCAGGCAGCAGGCAGGCAGGCAGCAGGCAGGCAGGCAGGCAGGCAGGCAGGCAGGCAGGCAGGCAGGCAGCAGGCAGGCAGGCAGCAGGCAGGCAGGCAGGCAGGCAGGCAGGCAGGCAGCAGGCAGGCAGGCAGGCAGGCAGGCAGCAGGCAGGCAGGCAGGCAGGCAGCAGGCAGGCAGGCAGCAGGCAGGCAGGCAGCAGGCAGGCAGGCAGCAGGCAGGCAGGCAGGCAGGCAGCAGGCAGGCAGGCAGCAGGCAGGCAGGCAGGCAGGCAGCAGGCAGGCAGGCAGCAGGCAGGCAGGCAGCAGGCAGGCAGGCAGGCAGGCAGGCAGCAGGCAGGCAGGCAGGCAGGCAGCAGGCAGGCAGGCAGGCAGGCAGCAGGCAGGCAGGCAGCAGGCAGGCAGGCAGCAGGCAGGCAGGCAGGCAGCAGGCAGGCAGGCATGGTACTGAAGCGGTAACTAAGAACTTACATCCTTGTCCAAGGTTGTGCTTCCCAATGTTTCTCCTTTTCCTTTCCCATATTTCCTTTATTCCATTTTCCCCTCTCTTCCCTCCCTTCCCCCCTCCCCCTCCCCTTTCGCTCATACCCTCTATCATCTCTTCTTTTCTCTTTCCTTTCCCTTCCCCATCCTCTCTTCTCCCCTCTCCTCCCCTCCCATCCCCTCCCGTCAGCTTCCCATTCCTCTGTTGACTGTCCTCTCCTCCCTCTGTGTCTTAGCTTTTTGTTTTCGAAAGGCTCTACCAGTTCAAGTCATCACATCACTGAGAGGAAGGAGGCCTTTGAGACTTTCCCTTCTTTTTGTTTTAAAAACATAGGGACTTAGTGTGTTACACTTGGGATTGAGGTGACCAGGGCTTCAGCCAGCCTTCTAGATTGTCACACTGTAGGATCAAAGCCACATGGAAGGAGTCCCAGGAGTCAGTGTGAGGAGGTTTTCCGTTTGGAATTTCCTTTCATTCTTCTATACCAGGGGTAGATTCTTTTTAACTGGTTTGTCCAGAGATTCTGGTACCTAGCTTTGCTTTTTAGGCAAGAACAAGTTTCTGCTATGAGAGAAGGATCAGACAGAAGTCTCTATTTCCTCCCAGCCAGCGACTGAGAGTTTGCATGGGTCCCTGTTTGATTCTCTCCTGTCTGAGCAGACTAGCCTTCTCTTGACCTTTGTCCAGGAGAAAGCCGGGGCCAGGTGGAGCCTGTGCCGTGGTGCGGCTGTGCCTGTGCCCCCCACAACCTGTGTGTTCCTCTTTTTTCATGGTCCTTCCCTCCTTTCATCTCTGTCCTCAGATCCTACAGGCCCTAGGGAAGTCCTATCACCCCGGCTGTTTCCGCTGTGTCGTCTGTAATGAATGTCTGGATGGGGTACCTTTCACCGTGGACTCAGAGAACAAGATCTACTGTGTCCGGGATTACCACAAGTAAGGAGAAATGAAGGGAGCAGTTGGCAACCCCACACAGGCCCCACTGAGCTCAGCAGAATGGATGGGACGTATCTAGAAACTCTTTAAACGGTTGTTTGGTGGTAAAAACAGAACACAAAACTGTAATCAGAGGAATTCAACAAGCCGGCGGCTCCAGCTTTACCCGATTTCACCAGGCACCAGATCAGGCTTAGCACCTACCGTTCCCTACTTGTTGGACCATCCCAGCTAGCTGTGAAGGGAGCAAACAGCCAGCTTCATCTTTATTCTTAGGGGAGCAAGAGGCAGCCAGATGTCTCTTGTAGCAGCTGTGAATAATGTTCATGTTTCAAAAAGTGAGCCCAGAGCCACAAAACCCTGAGTGCTGGCCACGGTGGGCTCTTGGCAGGCCGCAGTTCCATTCATAGCCTGGCAACAACAGTGTGCACAGTGTTCCCTTTGTTTTTACCACAGGGTGCTGGCCCCAAAGTGTGCAGCCTGTGGGCTTCCCATCCTTCCACCAGAGGTAAGACGCTTTTGTAGATCTACTCGTAGATCTCCTAAAGGCTGGACTCTCTCCCTTGAGTCACTCAGAAGCTCTGTAACCTGTTCTTACACCGTTCAACATCATCCTCCAGTGTCAATGCTAGCTTCCTGGTCCCATGTCTTTCTTGTGCCTGTTTGTCCCGAGAGGCAGACCAAGCTGTCATAGAGTAGAGGGACAGAAAGCTTGTCTTTCATTCATCTCTTAAAAACAAATATCCCTGGAACCCTGCCTCAGTAAATAAAATAGAGAGTGAAGGAGGAGAACACCAAACATAAACCTCTGGCTTTTACATGCATGTGCACACGTGTGTGCCTGTGTACATGCGGTCATGCATACATACACGCGCAAAAACAAACAAACAAAAAGGATGTCACCATTGGCGTTTCAGTATCGTCTCTGATGTCCCAGATCACACTACCTCTACCTGTAAAGAGTAAGGTTTTCCTGCCCGCCCGCCCGCTGCTGGTCTTGTTCCGCCGCTGCGCCAGCCCCAAATAACACACAGAGACTCTGTATTAGATATAATGCTGTTGGCCAGGTACTAGTTTCTTATCGGCCAGCTCTGTCTTAAGTATTAACTCATTTCTATGTGTTTCCACGTGGTCTTATCTTACCGGGGAGAGGCGGCTGGCGGTTCTGCTTTCTCCAGACTCTCCATCTTGAGTCCTCCTTACTACTTCCTGGAATCCTCCTTGTCTCCTAGTCCCTCCTGTCTTCCTTTCCTATTGTCCAACAGTGCTTTATTCATTAACCAGTATGAGAAACATATTTACAGAATACTACTGAATCTTGTCTTTTTCCTGCAAGTGCCTAGTATTTACTCTTGATTTATATTGGTCCCCCGAGGCCTCCTACTATTACCCCACAGTCTCCTCCCCACCGAACCCATCACCAGTGGCGTTCCGTGGACTTGTAACTGGCCTCTTTGCATGTCTCTCTTTTCTTTCATCCCAGGGCTCAGATGAGACCATCCGTGTTGTGTCCATGGACAGAGACTACCATGTGGAGTGCTACCATTGTGAGGTAGGCCCTTCCCTATCCAGCCCTAAAGCCTACCTTTACAAGGCCTCCTGGGTCATAGGACTAGGGTGGTCACCAAATTCTCCCTGACATCTGGCCCCCAAGAGTTGATTGAATGGGGATAATAACAGATGTTTGGGGTGAAGGTCTGTGTCGTCTTCTGAAAATTGAAAACTAGAAAGTTCTGAAGCTTGTAGCTGCTATCCCCGAAGCTGCGGGACTGAGAGGATTATATATTGTGGGGCTCAGATCCGGATTGTCACTTGGGTGTGTAATGAGGGAGGGGGAGGAGGTGTTCTCCCCTCTTGGGTGCAGACTGTTCTGTCTGTCAGAAGTTTCTGTTTGAACTGAGCCCTTGAGAGCATGGAGAAGCCTCTTGTGGAAATAGGTACATCACTTGGTGAGTATAAGTGTGTGTGGGGGCAGGGCTGGGGGCTGCTCTTCTCTGTCCTGTGTGACATCTTACATCGAAGAAACCATAAGTGCCACTTGACTGCAGGAAAAGCCAGAGGCCACTCTGCACCAGTCTTCCAGCCTCACCGAATGGATCCACCCTTAGAAGTAGACTAGATTCACTTGTGGTCTTGTAGGAAGAGCAGGGAGTATTGGCGACATGTAGATGGGTTTCACTGCTAGCGCCGGGTTTCACTGCTAGGGCCGGCGAAGTAAATGGGTCTCGTGGCTGGTGGTACATCATGAGTCTGGAGAAGAGAGTGAAGACTTAACAATCTTCTCTGCATATTCACGGCCTTGGCTGACTACTAAAAGTACAAGTGCCTCGCCCAGCCATGATGGCAGGTGAATCTCTTGAGGCCAAGGCCAGCTTGGTCTACAGAGCAAGTTCCAGGATGGCCAGGGTTATACAGAGAAACCTCATCTCGAAAAATCAAAACAACAACAAAAATATGAGTGAGTGCCATAACTGAAATCATGTGTGGGGTCTCTTCCTTTTCTAGTAGCCGCATTCAGATAGTTGAAAGAAACAGGTTGGGGATGCTGGTGATGTGGTTCTGTTGGTAGAGTGCTTGCCCACCGTGCGTGAAGTCCTGGGTTCGGAATGCAGCAGCACAAAAACCAGGAGTGGTGTTGCATACCTGTAATCCCATCACTTAGGATGCTGAGGCAGGAGGATCAAAAATTCAAGGTCATCCTTGACTACTGATAACATAGCAAGCCTGTGCTACCCGAGACTGCGGGGATGCGTGTGTGGGATTAATTAACCAGCCCATACTACACACACACAATGTTATCCTTTCAACTTGTACTCCATATAAAAACTGTGAGATTTTTTTTTTCCTGTCACCTGTCTTAGAAGCCTGGTGTGTGTTTGTCCTGAAGCCACATCTTGGCTTCACTTAAAGAGCTCTATTGTGGCATGTAGCCACTGGACAGGAGGTGCTCGCAACCGTGAAGCACCCTGTGCTGAGCGGCTGGACTGTGGTCCTCATGGGACATTCTTGCCTCCTTGCAGGACTGTGGTCTAGAGCTCAATGACGAGGATGGTCACCGCTGCTACCCGCTGGAGGACCACCTGCTCTGTCACCCCTGCCATGTCAAGAGGCTGGAGAAAGGACCCTCACCTGCAGCCCTCCACCAACACCACTTCTAGCCAGGGTTGCCCAGGGAGGTGCCTGTGGGGTACTTCTGGGGCCCCCCCCCAGACCTGGGGCTCAGGAAGAGGAGGGACAGGAGGTCAGGTCAAGTCCTCCTGTGTGTGTGAAGGCTACCTTTCTTTTTAACCACAGCAGCGTGCACTCCCCATCAAGTCCGTGTATTTTCCGGGTGTCCTTCCCCATTGCCATACCCTCACCGAATCACTCAGGAAGATGCTCTAGCTTGCACACGGCACACGGCACACGGCAACAAGATTGGGCCTGTGTAACTGGGCACGTCCTACTCCGTGGAGATAGTTCCCGTTTCATGGGGACAGGTCTTCGGATTGTGTTGAGCATATTTCACGGTGTTCCTAAGGAGAAGCGGTGATGGAGAAGATGAGCATCGCTTCCCGACTCTCGGGGAAATACCTGCACCCAGATAGATAATCCTCACACACCCTATGGTGGGAATTACAGCTCTTTTCGCCTCCGAACTTTAGTTCTTCTGAGAAAGCTGCAAACTCTCACTGCGTTACAGCAAGACAGAAGCATTGCATTATGCTTTGCTACCCTTGGAGTTTGCTTTGACATCTGGGAGGCTGGGTCTCCCTGCTGTGCCTCTGCCTCTCCTCCCACTCCTGAGGCAGCTGAGCTGTGGCAGAGGCCTGCCCTGTCCTACACAGCCAGCTCTGTGAGAACCGGCGCCGGTACCAGGCTTCTTACCCACGGCTTATCCTCTGGTCGGTGACATGGGAGCTGCTCCCGTAAGGTGAGTCTGAGGATCTCATGTGCTCACATCCCGGACACCTCTTTCTGCTTATGTGCTCATGGGCTTGAATACGGGTCCATGTCCTGGGAGAGAGCTCCTTTTGAAAGGAGAGTTTTTTTGTGTGTGTGTGTGTGTGTGAGGTCCCAAAGCTTAGCACCCGAGGGAGTGCCTGAGGGTGTTACTGAGCTTGTTTTAGAGGTATCACCCCTGTCCACTTCTCAGCACAGACATACATTCGGTTTGAAGAAACCAATATAAGGTACACTGCTTTTGACTGGGTTTTTTTTTTTTTTTTTTCCTTCATTATTTTTCTCCACCTTTTTTTTTCCCACACACAAAACATACCTCACAGATAGTTTTCACTAAATCACGGATCAAGGAGGAATTCGCCCATCATATCAGAGTCTATTGGTCTATTAGCAGTGTCGAATTTCTACTCTTGACTGCAGCTAAGCAGTCTGGTTGCAAGCAAGGCCATCGAGATTAGATGCAACTGAAATCAGCATTCTGGCCCCCTGTGCCTCTGTGTGCTACTCCTGGAGTAGCCTGGCTAAGAGGGAGACCACATGCTGAGAGAATGTTAAGGTCACTTCTGAGCTGGGTATGTGGACACCTGTCCTTCCAACATTCGGGAGACTGGTTTGTGAAGTAGGTGTTTGAGGCTGTCCTCAACTATATGAGGCCCTGGCCCCACCAAAAAAAAAATAGATTTTTATAAAGAAGAAACAAAAATCCACCCCACACTGAAGAACATAATCAACTCTGCCTATCACTTCCTGAGGTCAGAGGTCAGTGTCTCCTTGATAGTTCAAGTGGGAGAAACTGGAAAAGCTAATGGCGTTTCAGTTCCCTCTCACCCTCAGGGAGCATCCCGCCACTTGTGGCTGGAGGAGTGTTGTACCTCACTTCTGCGGGTCTGTCTGGGTGCCCAGCAGCCGGCTTGGGTGATGAAGCGTGGCCAGCGAAGCCCCACCACATGAGGATGTGGACTCTTGACTGGGTCCCAGCTCTACACGCAGGCTATTTCAACCCTGCTGGCCTCCGCTGCCTGTGAGGAGTTCAGAACTGGTGCTGGAGACCAGGACCATCGTTTTCATTTTTATAGGGTTCGTTCTGTTGCGATCCTTTGGCCAGATGTTACTTCCTGTTACTTCTTTGTTTCCTATTCTAGACAGCCCCTTAAAACAAGCAAACAAGCAAACAAACAAACAAACAAACAAACAAAACGGAATAATGTATGGGGCTGTGGAGATAGACCCTGAAGCCAGGCCCCTTTCTTCCCTTCAAGTTATCTAGCTTCACTTTGGCAAGGCTGACGGGGAAAGGAGACAAGCCAATGTGTCTTTACCACCCTTGAGGTGCTGGTCTAGCTGACATACCTTACTCCAATTTTGAGTCAAGATGACTGAAGAAAATTGCATCGGAATCAATGCCAGATGTAGAGGGCATTTGTTTGCAAATTGGATAATTAGTTTAAAACTCTGTGATTAATTTTTTAAATGAAATTCCTAATGGAGATGATTCAGATGTATTTGCAAATACATTTTATAATACTGAAAAAGAATAATAAAGAAGTTTGCAGACTCCCTGGAACACCTAGGATTGTCCTTTTTGTTTTCTGGAGAAGGCGCCGCTAGGGATCACTTACTCTTTGTTTCTCTCCATCTTAGGCTCTTTACAGAAAACATGAAGAGATATCCACTTACCTGGGACTTTAAATGTACTATACATTTAGGTCAAGTAGAGCTGCAAGGAGGTTATATTTGTAAGCATGTAGAAAGAAAACGTGGAGACTTGGGATACCCTGTCTCGAAAGTTAGAGAAATACCCTGTTTAAGATTCCTGTAAGACTCTTGTGCAACTGTGCAACTCCTATATGGCTCTGTACCACCCTGAATAAAACTAAGGAGATGGAGGCTGATCCCAGACCCAGGGCTGGACTCTGCCCCCCTTTCTCATTCTGCCCCACAGGTTTCAGAAGAGCCTTCAGCCCTAACTGACTTATTGGCTACCTGTTATAGCATACTAGGACCTTCCGTAGCCCTGGCTAGTGCCTGCATGAACCCCATTTCAGCTGAGTCCTGTGAGGATCCCATGTTGAATCCCAGGTGGCTGACAGAAGATCCAAACATTCTGAACACCTTCCAGTGCTGCGATAGCTTGGTTTGCACGGCCTTCAGTTGCACAAAACACAAAACAGGATGGTTAGGAAGATTTGGAATCTACATTCCTTTGCATGCATTAAATACTGTTCTGCAGTACACCTTCCCCACTCGGTGGTTACATTCCTTGCAAAGGACAGTGTGAGACTTGACTGCAAACTATGGTTGCACAACACACTTGTAAGAACTCTCAGGGATGGGTGGTGGCGGTGGACACCATTCATCCCAGCACTTGGGAGGCAGAGGAAGGTGGATTTCTGTGAGTTTGAGGCCAGTCTGGTCGTCTACAGAGTGAGAAAGGAAATGATCACCTCTGAGCTTGGGTATGTGGACACCCGTCCTGACATTTGGGAAACTGGTTTGTAGCCAAGGCCACACAGAGAAAACCTGTTTTGAAGAAAACAAAACAAAAACCAAACCAAAAGAAATCACACCAGCAACAACAACCCTCTTAGGGGGAGAGATAACTCAGCCAAGTGCTTGCATGAAGACTTGAGTTCAAATCTCATAATTCATATAAGAATGCCAGAAGCAGCAGTGTGCTCTTAGAGTTCCAGTTTTGGGGAGATGATAACAGGCAGATCTCTGGGGCTTGGTGGCCAACAAGTCTAGCTAGTGCGCTCCAGTCTAAAAGACCTTGTTTGAAAGAAGTAGACGCCTGAGGTTGTCCTGTGGGTTTTACATGTATACATACCTGCATAGACACATATTAAGAAAACTGCCAGGAAATCTTTTTTTTTTTTTTCTTTTCTTTTTTTTTTTTTTTTTTTTTTTTTTTTTTTTTTTTTGTACTTTCAGGTAGCCTCTGAAGTAACTTTAACAGAAAAAATAGTCAATCTCTCCAGAGTGTACTATGAAAATCTCACTGCAAAAGAAATAAAAGCAGACAGCAACTGAGAAAAACCATCTGAGGTTGATCTCTGACCTTCACATTGTATGTGTATAAATGTGCACACGCACACAAAAGAATGCATAATTCTGTATGATTTACTCTCCCATCTTTCAGTATCATTTAGTGTTCACAAAGGCCTTAATTTATATTCTTAACTGGTGAGGAAAGGCCAACTTTGAGTCTTTACCAGCAGGCCAGTGCAGTGGCTAATCAACTGGCCCAGTTATATCAGGATGAGCAGCAAGATAAAATATAAGCAGATCATAGTAAAAAAGTAATAGAAGCACAAGATAAAAATTAAAAACCACCTATATAATAATATACAGTGAATATTATATGAGTGAAAATTAAATTAAACAAGAATAATCTGCCAGAAAGAGCTAATATTCTCTTGCAGAGGACCTGAGTTCTGTTCCAAATCCCTGCCTTGGGTGCTATAATCCAGCTCCAGGGGGGAATCTTATACCTCTAGCTTCCTAGAGCATTTGCATGCAACTGCACGTACATGCATACACACAAGCAAAAAAATATATATATTTTTAAAGGTCAAGTTTGTGAGAAAAAAAATTTAGGAAAAAATGGAAAAGGAAAAGAGGAAAAGAGAGAGAGAAAAAGTACACCAAGAGAATATATTCAACAGGTCCAGAAATACAAGTAAAAAGGAAGTAGTGTTTTCATTTATAATAATTGTAAAGAAACTGCAATTTATGTCTATTTGTTTGTGGGTGCCCTATTTATTTATTTATTTATTTATTTATTTATTTATTTATAGGCAGGACCCAAAAATTAATACTTCCCTCCAATTTTAGGATTATCGGTATATGCTACCACATCAGACCTGGATATCTAATTTACATGTATATAAAAGTGTCTAATGTTGACCAGCATGTGTGGAAACATGCTGGTGACAGAAGGTATACTGCTTTAAATCTTCCACAAAGCAATTTGGAAATACGTGCCAAAAATCTTCTTAACGTCCATGAAGTGAACCTTTAATAAGTCTACTTGGTCAACCCAAACAGAACGTCTTAAAGCAGGAATATTTGAGCCAGGTATATGGTGCATGCTGGTAATCTCAACACTTGGGAGTTTGGAGAAACTAGAGTTCCAAGTCCATCTTCCATAGCCAGTAAAGGTCCACTGTCTTATGTAAGACTGCCTCCCTCCCTCCCTCTCTCTCTCTCTTTCTCTCTCTCTCTCTCTCACACACACACACACACTTAAAACATAGTGTCTTTTTCTTTTCCTTCTTTCCTTCCTTTTTTTTGGGGGTGGTGGTGGTGGTGGTGGTGGTGGTGGTCAGGGACGCAGGGTTTCTCTGTGTGTAGCCCTGGCTGTCCTGGAACTCGCTCTGTAGACCAGGGTGGCTTCAAACTCAAGAGCTCCGGACTGCCTCGGTCTACCCAGTGCTAGGATTAAAGACGTGCTACCATTATTTAAGTGTCAAAACCAGCAGCAACTCATATTTCCAAGATAAAAATTATGCTTAAAATACCTAGTGTTCTTATGTAACATCTTCAAGAAATATCTAATAAATCTCAGACCAAAAAATAAATAAATAAAAGACAAACAAAAACCATAAATTCATCAAAAAACAATAAAAAAAAAAACGCCCACAAACGTAGAGAAGCAGGGTATGCTGTCTTGCTCTGGAAGCAGAAGGGGACAGGTCTCTGAGTTCCAGACCAGCCTGGTCTACACCCAGGTCAGTTAAGGCTGCATGAGTGAGTCACAGCCCTTGCCCCCGGCTCTAATTCTGCCCCCCAGCATTTTTCTGTATTTGACACGTTTTCAATAAACTCTTGGGGAATGAGGGATGTTAACAGGACAACTTAATCATCGAGATGACTAGTTAAATGAATAGGCTGAGTCCCCTTTGTGTCACAAATCTCTGGTCTCACGTAAAAAGAGCTGCCATGCGCTCGCTTTTCTGAGCCCCTTACTACTGTTTCCTTGTGGGATGGAGGCCAGGTTGGTTGGCTTTGCAAGCGGACCTAGCCACGGCCGCCTACTAGTAGCATTCCCGGGTCCGAGGCCCGGGCCACGGTGCCGCAGAGCAGAAGCTGCACCCTTCTGGCGTCAGTGCCGCCCGTGTTGCATCCACCTGCAAGGAGTGGAGCCTTCGGTGAACGTTTCGTCATCGGGTGGAAAGACACTGGCCACACACGTCCCCGACTGCGAACATCCATGCTCTCTCGGGAATGGTTTTTTTTTTAATTAAGTGTACTGGCTTGCAGACTCCTGCGAAGCTTTAACAAGAGGGGCGCCGGGAAATCGGCAGAGCCGTTTTAGATGATTCTGGGTGTCAAACGCGGCTCAAAACGCGCACGGCAGCGTTTTGAGACGGCCTTGGAACGTTCGACTCCAATATGTGTCCAGGAGAGAAAAGGAAGAAAAAGTTTGCACGTATCGAGCCAGCCAGGAGTCGAACCTAGAATCTTCTGATCCGTAGTCAGACGCGTTATCCATTGCG